AGTCGACATCATTATGTGTGTTTTGTGAGATGGAGGAGGACTTTGTGGATTGGTGTTGGACAGACAGGCTAATATTGGACTTGTGGGCTTGGGCAACACTGGGTTGGGATGTTTTCTTGATGTGCACTTTCCTTTATATAAAACTCTCTCTTATACATATGAGTTTCTGTGGATTTGTTTCTCTAATGTACCCAGACTAACCCAGTAGCTAACTCCACATCACAGTCCTTGAATTATTCACTTGTACAGAATTCATCCTCTCATGGCTGGAAACTATTTACACAAACCATGGGAGTTGGTTGACAGGGAAAATTTACAATGATATTCACCAAGAATGTCAGTCTCAGGTTTGCCAGAACTATATACCTTAATACAGCACCTAGGGCGTTGATGTAGCAAGGTCATGATTGTCTGCAAACCAACCATTCAACAATCTTGGTACAGCTGTCTTCCCATTCCTCAGACACCATGCATTCTCAGTCCTAAGCCCTCAGGTTACAAGTGGGTCTGAGGTAGTCCAGTTCACCCGGTGGATTTTCCAGATCGAATCTCACTGATGCAGCCTCTGGAGCATGCCATGTGCCCTGAAGAGCCAGGATTCAATGGCCCAGCTTGGCACTGGGCCTTGGTCCCCAGAATGTGCCCAGAAGCCCAGGCCAATGTAGCCCATTCAGTGCGTACCAAGCCATGGTATTTTCAATCACCCATATGCACTTGAAAAGTGGATATCAAATAAGGAAAACTGAGTAAAATCAATGCATTTGAATTACGGTGTTGGAATTGTATGGATAGTACCATGAATTTAGCCAATGGCATTGGATTTAAAACACTGTTGAGAAAGGAAAGTATACATGTATGTGGGAGCTTTTTAGACTAAAATACATGGATTGTTGAGTTGTACAGATTCAAACTTAAGTGACTAGCTACTATTTACACAACCAACAAGAGGACAACTTAACTTTAAAGACTGGGCATTTTCTTCTTAAAAAGTGAAAATATCAGTAATCAAGTTCCTTTGTATCTGGCAATAGTGTAATAAATCAGATTTTTTTTTAATGTTGAGGAAAGCATATTCACAATAAGCTGGTGAATTTTTGATACATAATGAACAGCATTTTAAGATTCCTATTTTTAACTGTTGTCAACATTATTTAAATATTATTCTTTTCTTACCATTTGTAATTGAATGTTTCTGTTTATTACAGGTTTTATTTAGCATGTATCCGGATCACGGAAAGTTTTGGCAATTGTTTGCTCTGTCCCCACTGAAAAGCTACTGTATCCAAAATATTACTGAGCTGGTCATCACCATGGATGTGGGTCACAAAACTGGGGAGATCGAGAAACTCCACAAATGTAGTTTGGACCCGAGGTTGGAGCACAGCGATCACTGGTCTTAGCCACACATTTTGCTTGCTCAGGACATTTGTAGGCAGAGGAACTCTTGGAAAACTGCTAGGCCAAAGCAACTGTTCTGCGGAAGAGATGAGAAGGTGGTTCCTTTTAGCAAGGCACCAAGTTCTGCTTATCCTTTCTCATTCATTTCCTTTTGAGGTCAGTTTGAGCACTTCCTGTTCACCTTCACTCATTCATTCCTAGCCTTACAGAGTCTCCCGATGAGCCTATCCAAGGTATCTTCCTTCCTGTTACTGCATTTAAAATGTTTCTGGTTTTTTTGAGTAGTGTCCAAAGTATCCATCTCTCAGCTGGTATTACTTATCTAACCTTGCATGTTGTGTATCTTTCCTGTTAGAACCATGCCATAGGAATCATTTGTGTCTAGGTGTGGTAATTGCTTTGTAGTTTAAAACTGTTTTCTAGTGTGTTTTTATATGCCTTGTGGTTTTGTATTGAAAAATGCTGCATACACTAGTAAATACTGAGGTCAATATGTTAGTTGGGGAGGCTTGCTTAAATTTAATCTCCATGCTTGACTATCCCTGGCCTTTTTCTTCAGGGAGTGCGTAGCTCTTGTGCCAATTGATCAGCAGTAGAGCTCAGGGAACAAGGAAGAGCCTCCCTCCCTTGCTGCTAGCCCCCCCTGTGACTGGCTGTTGCCTAAATAGAACACTGCTGAAAAAGTTCAAGATGGGTGTGTGGTACTTGTAGAACAGACAACTCATCTGTCTCCTTTCTGGCTGCTTCTGCCTAGCTTCTTCTCCTACTCAGGATTTGATCCACTTGGCGGTCCCTTTCTCTGAAGCTCATGGTTCCAGGATCATCACCTGTGTCGGTTTCAGTGGGTCTCTGGGGTCTTTGGTGTATCTGGTCTGTGTAGGATGTCTGTCTAGTTTGCAATCTTGCTGAAAGACCTGAGGAGGGACCTTTTTTTCTTAATACCTCTTACCTGATGTGGAGCCGCTGTCATTGCATTTGGAAGGATTTCCTCTCTTCTCAGTATGTTCGCGGCTTAAAACCCAGGGCCATTGAATTGATTCCAACTCGTAGCGACTACAAAACTCACTGCTTTCAAGTCAATTCCAACTCATAGTGACCCTCTAGAACAGGGTAGACTTGCCCATGTGGATTTCTGAGACTACAACTCTTTATAGGAGTAGAAAGTCTCCTCTTGCTCCTGTAGAGTGGCTGGTGTATTTGAACCACTGACCTTTTGGGTAGCATGCCACTGTGTAATTACTATACCACCAGGGCTCCTGGTAGTGACCCTGTAGTCAAACTCAAAATTCTTATTTCCAGTCTTCTGTGAGTTATCATCTCACAGGCTGGTGGTCATACCACCCATGTATATAGTCATTTTGTTTACTGCTTGCTGTGAGCCTAGGAACCTGGGTAGGGATTCTACATGGGCTACAGGAAGTGGAAGCATATATGCGCATTATCTTCACTATGATGTATGTTATTGAAGCTCAAAAACGAAAATGTATAGAGCTTAAAAAATGGATAGAGCTTAATTGAGCCATTAATCTCTCTCTAGAGAGTGCTACCTCTGTTTAGGAAGGCATGCCTGAGGTCAGTTAAGTGAGTTTTTAAGGAGAAAGGAAGAAGCATGGAATAGAAAATTAAACATTGGATCAGTTTGGTTGCTATCATGTCCCTCTCCCTTAGGATAGCAGATATCAGGCTGTCAGTTGGTTTGGGGGGCTTGGCTAGCCTCTTAATCATTTGTACAAATTCTCAGATACTGTCTAGTGGTCATAAATAATAAATGCACCTCGAATTCTCAGGAAATTATAAAGTTTTAGAATGATTTATCAGCAAGAGAAATTAACTGCTTTGCATAAGGTAAATTCTGGGCCAGTTTATGGTTAACAGATGTGTTTATCACAAAAGGGCATTTGTACAACTTTATGGTCACTACATCTTCTTATTACTTTTAAAAATCTGCTTTTGAAGGGTACATTCTACAAGGGTCAGTGACCTTGTGAATCTTCTGTGCACTCAGAAGGATCTGTCAGGCTAGCCCCTGGCTTCTCTCTCTAATAGCAGGGAGGCGCCAACAAGATGTGCTGGCAGAGGATGCTGAAAGTGAGGTGTCAGGGGGCAAGGACATGGGCGTGGCCCAGGGTGATGGGCCTGCAGATGCTTTTCTTCATGGACCTGTGAGAGGGGTGCAACTGCAGTCAAAGCAACTGTGGGGACTTGGCTTCTCTCTATTTCACCTTGACTTACCGCAGCTGTGAACTTCACTGACGCCGTGGACTTCACACTGCTTCAGGTGGACCTGGCAGGGGCTCTGATGGCTGACAGGTTGAGTGGCTCCGAGAGAGAAGAGCGCATCGTAATCCAAGTCATCCAGGAAGATGCGCTGGGCACCAGACGGAGACAGCGACAGCAGGTCACACTTTTCAGTCATTTAAAGAAGAACTGTAAAAATTCATTTGATCTCATTGTAAACTGAATTTCGTTTGGAGGTAATGGGGAGCTATGAGGCAATAGCACCGTTTAAAGCTAAGCATTTCTCTCATCTTTTGCTTTGTCTTTGAAATGTTCTGTTCTTTTTTTCATTTAAATCAATTACAAATTCAGAGGAGCAGCCTGCATTTGAAAGCTCTTTTGTGGCTGTTGGTAAAAGTGCAATTACTTCTGACTTCACCTGTGGCACTGACACACAACACCCCATTTTGGTTGTGATTTGGGGCGATTGGAGGAGTGTGCATGTGGTCCATGGGCTCGTGCTTCTGTGCCAATGAGCTAAAGCCGTCTGCTCAAGTCCCACAAAGTGCAGTAGTGGCAGGGAAAGCCAACCCAGAGTCGAAAGAATTTCTTCTGTTCCTGCTGCAAAGGAAGGACCCATATATACAGCCAACAAGCCCCAGAACACGACTTCTGTGACCCGCTGAACTGGAACGTAAATGGCAAATGGAAGTCCAATCACTGTTGTCCCTGCGGTAGGAAGAGTTGCTTCTGTCGTGGATCAGGCACAGGGTAGAGGCCTGCTCTAGGCAAGGTGTGGAACAATCATGGGCTGAAGAGGTTGCCCAGGTGATGCCCTCCAGCCATAATTGTGGCGCCTTTTTTGGCTGTGTTCACCCTGGCAACCTGTGAAGAGGTAGGAGGGCACTCTGCTTGCCCATGAAAGTAACCCTGGCGTGGGGGTGAGCCTGCCCTCTAGCCTTTGTGTACTTGTAGCCTGTCTCTGGCAGGCTACAATGATAAGAGGGACACTTCTAAAGCAGACTCCCTCCCTGCTGCCTTCCCTCGCCCCCCCAACCCCAACCGAATGTAGCTCAGAGCTGTTTATGGAAGGAATTTTCCAAATATAGTCCATCCAAACACACATGAGTATGTGTGTTCTGGGGTGCAATGTGCTGCTTGGACCAGTTTTAGAGGTGCTAGTTTTAATTTCTAGAGCCCTAGTGGGGTATGGGTTAGGCATTCAACTGTTGACCACAATGTTGGCAATTCAAATCCACTAGCTTCTCTGGCAGGAGAAAGACAGGCTTTCTACTCCCATACACGTGACAGTCTTTGAAACCCACAGGGGCAGTTCTACCCTGCCTTCCAGGGTTGCTGTGAGTCAGCATGGACTCAGTTTTACTTCTCTGGGGGAGACGACAAGACCTTTCTGCTCTTGTAAAGATTTTCAGTCTCAGAAACTCGAAGGAGCAGTTCTCTGTGTAGAGGGTCAGAATCGGCTTGATAGTATTGGGCATTTCAATTTCCATGTGATGTAACCCATCCCTCCACGGAAAGTTCCTGGTCTGCCCCTCACTCTGTCTCTGCTCCGTGTACCACCTCTGCGGGCAGATTTGGATTAGCCAGCAGCAAATGAAGTTTAGTGTCCGGACTGCTCTGTGGGCGCACCGAAGTCTGTGGTGCGCTTTGTGCAGACGTGCAGAGGTTTTTAGGGGTAGGGGGTGCAATCAGCCTGCCACTAGGAAGTGGTTTTCAGTAGTTGTTCCTGTAAGTTTCCTAAAGAAGGTTCAGAGCACTGTTCTAAGTCTTCAGTAACTTGTACCAATTTATTTTCTCATAACAAATCAGTATTTACTTTTATACAGCCTGCACTTTTGTCTACTAATCTGTCTTTTTACTTGTGCATTTCTTTTCTTGGATACAGTCCTCTAAATGATGTCTAGTTCAAGCCCCGCGGACCTCGCCGCTCTCCTTAATGCCATGGGTGAGGGAACCACTATAAAACCGCTGTGCTTTTCTCTTCCTCATTTCTCACTCTATCAAAGAAGTTCCTAAGCAGCATAGCCCAGATCTCCGATACCGTTCCAACCCAAATGCCTTATTGTCATTTTAAACCTTCTCTTTTATAGATCTCCTATAATTGGACAGTATTTTTAAATCCAAGAAGAAATGAGCATTTTGTCATAAGCAGGACATTTGAGATACAGAGCAGGTGAGTTTTCAAATGAGTGAGGCCTTGGGAACCCATGCGCTCGGACATACTAACCCATAGTGCTTTGAACTATAGGACACACATTTGGCACAAAAAATACCTGGTCAGGTGGCCTGGCTGTGTGAAAATGCTCAATGGACTGAGAGGGCAGAAGAGTCTGAGGGTAGCATTTATCTGAGGTGTGTAGTACTTCTCTAGTAGAAATGCCGTGAGTAGATGACTTTAACAAAGATTAACTTATTTTCTCCAAGTCTGGGCTAGAAGTCTGGATTCAGGGCGCCAGCTCTCGGTGAAAGCCCTTGTCTCTTTCCATCTATTGTTTCTTGGTCATCTTCATGTGACACTGAAACACTGTTTTTGTTTGCTCAGTTTGCTTCTCATTATATCTCAGAAGAGATTTTACCCAAGGCATACCTTAATGGCACATTAACATAACAAAGGGCCCCATTCCCAAATGGGATTATAACCATGGGTTTTGGAGTCAGGATTTGGGACACATACTTTGGGGGACTCAATTTAATCCATAACTGTATTCTAACCACAAGTATCAAGAAATAAGATAAATTCTTAGAAGGACTGACTTTGAAGCAAATGTGATTTTAAATTTAAGTTCTAATTATATTGGGAAGTTGTTCAATGGAAGAATTACAGGAATTTTTTTTTTTCATGATTAAGGGTTTTATTTATTTTATTTTTTTCTCTTTTTTAACATTTTATTAGGGGCTCATACAACTGTTATCCCAATCCATACACACATCAATTGTGTAAAGCGCATTTGTACATCGTTTCTCAAAACATTTTCTCTCCATTTAAACCCCCGACATTAGGTCCTCATTTTTCCCCTCCCTCCCTGCTCCCCCCTCCCGCATGAGCCCTTGATAGTTTATAAATAGGTATTTTGTCATATCTTGCCCTGTCCGACGTCTCCCTTCATCCACTTTTCGGTTGTCTGTCCCCCAGGGAGGAGGTCACACACAGTTCCATGTAATCGGTTCCCTCTTTTCTACCCCTTCTCCCTCCACCCTCCCTGTTTTGCCACTCACACCACTGGTCCTATAGGGCTCATCCATCCTGGATTCCCTGTATTTTCAGTTCCTATCTGTACCAGTGTACCTCCTCTAGTCTAGCCAGTCTTGCAAGATAGAAGAATTACAGGAATTTTTAAGATTTCTTTTCATTTTCTTTATCTGATCCCACTTTGTGTTCCCTCTTTCTGGGTTACTGGTTGGACATTTACACGAGTGCTCTGATTCAGTATGCTGTGCACTCTCAATTATTTCCAGGCATTTTATTGCCCAGTTAGTGACTGAAGTTTAAATATTTGGCATTACTTTTTGTCAGTAGGTAAAATTGCTAAGTGGTGAGAGAGGCAGAAGTAAACAGGTAGAATCACATGTGAGCTTTCCTGCCTCCTAGTAGCTTTTAGGTGCTTCCAGTGAGGTGGACACTGCTGTCTTGGGTGGAAAAGATAGGGTACCTAGATCTGTCACAGGGAATCTGTGAGGCCAGTCATTGGCCTGAGCAGGTATAAAGTTCTGACCTGTTTCAACTGGCAACAGTGGACAATAACTGGTGACAAAAGGTTTGTTTCCATTACTAGCTGGGAACTCTTTCTTTCATTCTACAGAGAGGTCATTTGGATCACTATCCGAGCATCCTTCCTGGACAATCAGGCAGTTCCTCTCTTAATGGCTCATCACTACCTCCGTGCGGATGTGGAGACACAAGTTGCCATTGCTGCAGCCATCCTGGTGGGGGTCTACCTGCTGATTATATTTGAGGTGTGTTTATGTCTGCTTTGCCCACAAGTAAGAACACTGTAGTGTGTTAGACTTGGGTAGAGCTCAGTCTCTGCTACTTAATCCAAATGGAAAATGTTATTGTTCACAGTGAGCATTCCCACTCTAAGCAAGATACTGAACTGTGTGGAAGTTGGTTTTCTGTGTCTTGGCAAGATGAGTTTCCAAGAACCAAGGAAGTTTTCGTGAGCAGATTGAGCATGCACATTATTGCCATCCTCACTCTGTCCTTCACTGGAAATGAAACCTCGATGGGACAAGAGGAAAGAAAACAAACAAACGTTTTAATGGATTTATTGACACATAATTCACATATCATACAATTCAATGGTTTAAACTTGTTAAAAGAGTTGTGTAATCACCACCACAATTAATTTTTGAACATTTTCACCTTTCATGGACTCATTATTATTAGCTCCCCATTTCTCCCTGACCCCTCCTGCCAAGGCAACTATTAATTCACTTACTCTTCCTGTAGATTTACCTATTTTGGATTCCATATAAAGGAAAGCATGTAAAAACAAACAAACAAAAAACCACCAGCAGTAACAAAAATAAAACAGAGAAACATCAATCAAAGAGAAGGTATAAGATAATAGAAACTACAACACATTTAAAATGGGTCAAAAGGAAGAGCAAATGATAAGGTGTTTAATTTTACCCTAACTCTGACTGCATTATAGCAAGGCTATTCTCATCCCTGGTCTACAGTCAGAGGGGATTCCCTGAGGCTTAATCGATGTGGGAACCTGCAAGTGTTTTTTAGGCTTTCACTGTCATCCATAGCCTTCTGCAAACTGGGTACTCAGAGTTTAAGCTCTAATACTCTTTGCTCCTCTGGTCTTGGATATTATTATCTACAATCCTTGGATCACAGAGACTGGATTCTTCTGTGGATGTAGTTTGTTTATTTTTAACAATTTAACAGACATGGAATTTACATAGCATACATTTCAATGTTGTTGCTGTTAGGTGCCATCCAGTTGGCTCTGACTTATAGCGACCCCACACAGCACAGTACGAACACTACACGGTCTGGTTCCATCCTCACAATTGTTTGTGTGCCAGCGTCCATTGTTGCAGTCATAGCATCAATCCATCTTGCTGAGGGCCTTCTTCGTTTTCACTGCCCCTCCACTTACTAAGCTTGATGTCCTTCTCCTGGGACTGATCTCTCTCTTCTGACAATATGGCCAAAGGACTGTGTGTAAGACGAAGTCTTTCCACCCTTGCCAGCAGGGAGCACTCTGGCTGTACTTCTTCCAAGACAGAGCTGTTGGTCCTTTTAGCAGTCCATGGGACTTTCAACATTTCTCTCCAGCACAAAAATTCAAATACCTCAATTCTTCTTGTCTTCCTTATGCAATGTCCAACTTTCACATGCATGTGAGGCAATGGAAAATACCACGGTTTGGGTCAGGAGCACCTTAATCCTCAAAGCAACATCCTTGCCTTTCAATACACTAAAGAGGTCGTGTGCTGCAGATTTACCTAATGCAACTCTTCTTTTGATCTCTTGACTGCTACTGCCATGAGAATTGATTGTGGATCCAAGCAAGACAAAATCCTTGACAGCTTCGACTTTTTCTCTATCATGATGTTACCTTTTGGTCTAGTTGTGAGAACTTTGATCTTCTTGTCATTGCGTTGTAATCCATAGTGAAGGCTGCCAATCCTTGACTTTCGTCAGCAAGCACTTTGAGCCCTCCTCCCCTTCAGCAAGCAAGGCGTGCCATCTGCATATCACAGATCCTGATGCCACATTCTTCTTTTCTGTTTGTTTATTTGTTTTTACAGTTTTATTAACACTTCATCCATGTCATACAATTCAAAAGTTCAATCATATGAAGAAGAGTTGTAAAATTGTCACCAAATTCAATTCTAGAACATTTTCTTCTTCCTTATAGTAATTGTTATTCATGTAATTATTATATTTTTTAATCATGGCAAAACCACACACAAAAGAACATTCTCCATTTCCACAACTTCTACTTATACAATTCACTGTCATTGATTATACTCTTCATGTTTTACAACCATCCTTTCCCAAATTATTCTACCACCATTGACATAAACTCAATGCCCCTACACAACAACTCTTTCTCCTTCACCTACGGTAACCATTGGTCAAGTTTGGTCTTTTTTTTGCGTGGTCTTCTTGATATAGTATTCACATATCATACAGTTTCTTGGTTAAACTGCTCTTAAAATAAGTTGTATACACATAATCACAATCAGTAGTACTCCTTCCCCACTCCCACAATCATTGCTCCCCAAATCCCTTCACCCTCCATATCTCCCACTCACCCCCACTCAAATAATTGCATCAGTTATTATTCCTATCCATCTACTCCTTCTGTGCCCCACAAACTGGGAAACCCAACAGAAACCATAAAAAACAAAAACAAAATAAAATGGCATGGATAAAATAATAAAAATAATATAAAGAGAAAAATACAAATAATGAGTAAGAAAGAAAAGACCACCATCAATATTTTAAAAGCCAGGGAAGAAACTTTTGTCATGGACAATCGAGAAATACTTGAGTCTAGAACAAATTCAGGTTGGGTAAAGAGGGAGGTCATCTGACCAAGTATCACGTTTGATCCAGAATAATCAAGTTTATAATGATCTCTGTCTGATTGGGCCTCTACTCAAGTACTCCTTCAACTCAAGAATACTTTATTCTAATCACCCGGCACTCTGAGATGCCCACCTTCCTGACATGATCGCTGAAGACAAAATGGGTGCATAGGCAAATGTGG